CCCCCCCCCCCCCCCCCCCCCCTTCCGAAATGACAACTATTCCGCCGCTACTGATAGGGATACAACTACCTGAAAAATACAAGGAGAACTTCGAAGTTTGTAGTAACTTCCCGACTAAGGTCCTTCGCTCAAAACGTCGAAGTTCTCGTATTTTTCAGGTAGTTGTATCCCTATCAATTAGCAGCTTTCTAGTTATATTGGCTGCAGATATTCGTATCCGCGCCTTTGCATGCAACACATTACAAAGGCGGCCTATAATAGAAAGAAATTTGCCCAACTTTCGCATTTTGCCCCACCAATCAAAATATTTTCCCTGCTAAACTTAGGAAATTGTTGTCGGCAGGGGGGAAGCCGGAAGGAGGGGAAACAAGTTTCGAAAGGCTAAACATTTTTGGCCACATTACATATTTCTTGCTTTCAATTTACTCCCCCCATCTTTTTGCTCCACTTACATTTAAACGGTCACTCGAAATGACCTCTCGACGATATTCAGGCTAGGATGAATCGTGTCACGAAATTTTTTCCTGACCGTACAAGATCAGTTTGAATGAACTTTATTCTGTTACTGGAATCAAACTAAGCTAATTCAACTTTGAAATGTCATTTTGGAGGTTTATCAAAGCCGTGGTAAGAACTTTATTAAATTATTAAAGCCTGATTCTCATATCATGTCGCTGACGTCGGCGATGCCCATTGTCGTTGATCATTGATGAGTAAAATCTTTTGTGTATGTTCTTCACTGATCTCAAACAATGGCATCGCCGACGTCGTCGACATATGAGAATCCGGCTAAACGTATCATCCTGGTTAACGGGGCCAGCCCAGCTCCATATGAACAACTCCATAAAGGCCAGTTTATATTAGCGGAGTTACCTGGACTGGACGTCTTGCCTACCTCATGATTGCGCCTCATAATAATTTTACTACAAAAGTTTACATCGTGTTCATAGGAGGAAGCGTGCTGTCCCGCTTGGCGAGATCCCCTGCAATCCTTAAGCCTGTTTCCCACTTCAATCGTAACGTATCGTAGCATTTTCTTTTCTGTCGAAGTCGTTAGTTTCACTCTAGTGCTCAGGAAACAAAGAAATACGTTTCGGTACGATACGATTGAAAACTGGCTCTTTAAGTCAGTTTTCCACTTGCACTGTAAGTGTGGAACTAATGACTTCTACACAAAAGAAAATGCTACGATACGTTACGTTACGTTACGTTACGTTACGTTACGTTACGTTACGTTACAATACGGTTGAAGCGGAAAGCAGGCTTTAAGCCAGTTTTCCATTTCAATCGTAGCGAAGCGTAGCGTATTTCTTTGTTTCCTGACCACTAGAGTGGAACTAATGACTTCAACACAAAAGAAAGTGCCACAATACGATACGATACGATACGGCTGAAGTGGAAAACAGGCTTTAGCCTTGTCCCAGGCGTTCCCACGTAACTGGATCGGTTTTGAACCGCGGGAGAAGCATATCTATGGGGAGAAGGCCTAGCGAAATTCGTCAACTTGTCTTGATTGTGATTACTCAGTTCACTCCCCATTGGGGCTTTTCAGTGACTGATTACATCAAGTATTACGCTTACTTATATTACATTTGTGTGATATTAGCCTACTTTCCTAACTATGTTTAACCCACCCTGTCAACTTTCCCGGTGGGAGGAAACCGGAGAAAACCCACGACTTTCGGCAGAGCGTTGACGGACTCTTTTCACATGAGTCCATAGCGAGAATCGAAACCCAACCTCGTTCCCAGGGTCTCTAAAGATCCTGGGTTGCGCCAAACCTTGCCCGAACTGCCAGTACATGTATTTCCTTCCATATCGAAATATCTTTATAAAGTTAAAAAGTTATACAAAAACATCGATGTAAATGTGTAGAACCTAGGGACGCGGCTCGAAGGACAAAAATGCTTCCAAGAAGGGCTAGACCTTCTCGGCGGCGTTCTCGCTTGCCGTTTCTCGCCACCGCGCCCAGCATCGCGGAAGCGAAAGGCAGGAACTAGGCTGGGTAATCCCTACATGAACTGTGAAGTCCGCCCACAGGCCGCATGATATGCGTTGCTCGAAACATTGAACATCGAAGTATTTTCAGTATATATTTTCAGGCCTAGCAATATTGGTAATCCTGCCGGATATATATATTACCTTCGGTTTATTGTTGATAGATGAAGATAATATAGAAGGAATACATCTCCTATACAGACGCAATCAATACAAACGATGATTTATAGTAACTTTAGAAAACGTAAAAATTGAAGGCGTTTGAACTTTCGTTTCTCTTGACACTAGATATAAATTATAAGATATCATTTATCTTAAAGCCTGGTTTCCTGATATGGTTGTAACGATCGAGTCACGATCTCAACTGACAGAAACGCAACGTTTAGAACTGAAAACACGCGGAGTGATCATAACTAGAGAATACGTATGATTTATATCAATTATATGTGGTTTACAGGCATAAACTATTATAAACTGGCCGTTGAGACTGGCGTGTGACTGGCACCTTTTATACACTCTTATCCTCTTTTGATGAGACTGGCAATATTGCCCGAAATTTTAAAGTAAAATCTGCCCGACTAAACACAGCCCGAAGGGGTGTCTTACAGCACCCCTGACCCCTCTTCCCCCTTTGTTGCAGTGCAAGGCTGTCTTTATGCATGAATGTGTTTATCAATCTGTCAAGTATTTAGCAATGTTTTCAGATTGAACCCAGCAACGCGGTATTTTTTAATCATCTTTGTAAACGACAACAGATTTAAAACAATATTCTCGGTTGACCGAGAAAACCTCAAAACTGCATACGAAAACGTATTTTGCTTCAGGCCATACGGCACTGTTGTCGTACTTGTGTAGGCGATTTAATTGCTTCGTGCTTTTATTAAAGAGGAAGAAATTAATTTTCAAAGGAAATAATTTAACATTTCAGATATGGTAATGACATGGTTTGCAAACGCAAAGCAGCTACATGTTAGCCTGCGAACAGGCTCTATCTTTGTGACATGAAGGGACACTGTCGTTTTTACGTCAGCAACATGCCAACATCCAAGGCACTCACTGCCTAGTAAGTAAGTGGGGTGTGCTAATCATCCTTACTTGCAGCTGAGAGCTAAGCTGAATTATGAGGGACGCAGCTCAACTGATCGAGTTGAAGGCTTTCTAAGGGCGCCTATGGCAGCCACCTTTATATGACTCATGTTAGATCACGGAAAACAGCTACGTTGGAAGGGTCAATTCAGTGGCGCCGTGGCCGGGGGGGGGGG